TTTACTAAGAACTCATAATGGAGCCAAAGAGGGCACAAGAGGCAAGCTCAATAAACTATGAGAACAACAACAAAAAAAAGTAATGTCCTTAAAAAATGCAGCACGGATGCCCCCATGTGGACACAGTAAAATACTTTGCTCAGCACATTATACTGATCTTTTAGCAAAGGGTAATTCAGAGCTTGTTTTAAAAGAACTCAATCTTCCATTTTATTGGCAACTAGGAGAAACCAATATACTTCAAATAAAAAAGAACACTATTTTTTAGTATTAGTGCACTTTTTGTAAGTCACACACAGATAACCTGGTACTAATCTTTATCAGAGGAAGTAATGATTCTACTCTATTCTATACTGATTCAGATTTTGAGCTGTTTCTCAGCTGTAGACATGTCATTTTGAGAAGGATACCACTTCAGGAATAATTCTGTAATGGACTGAAGAAATAATCTTGAGGAATAGGAGGAAGAGTATGCTACCAAGATATACTTTTCAGATAAAAGAAATCTTGAGTCTGGAGCAGAATGTAATTTGAGAAAGCGACTCAGGCAGGGCCTTCCTAGTTCTCATTAAGATAAAGGGAGGACGAAAGCATATTCAAACTTACAAGACCGATATCAGCCCCTCAAGGTAGACCAAACTAAGAAGCTAAAGTTAATGCACGCTAAGATTACTACAGGTAGTCCTCAACTTACCACAGTTTGTTTAGTGACAACGGCATTTTAAAAAGTGACTTATGACAGTTTTTCACAGTTACCTTTGCAGCAACCCCATTGTCACTTGATCAAACTTCAGATGCTTGGGGACTGGTTCACATTTATGACCGTTGCCGTGTCCAAAAGTCATGTGATCACTTTTTGCAACCTTCTGAAAAGCAAACTCTATGGGGAAGCCGGATTCACTTAACAGTCTTCTTACTAACTTAATAACTGCAGTGATTCACTTAACAACCGTGGCAAGAGAGGTCGTAAAATGGGGCAAAACTCACTTAACAATATATTTAGCATGTAAATTTTGAGCTCAACTGTGGTCATAAGTTGAGGATTACCTGTACTTTTATTGTAAGGTTACAGTAACAGAATCTTGCAAACCTCAATACTTTCCCCGCACTTCTCTACAAAAATGGTGACTTACCAATTCAAAGATTGCCAGAAGATGAGAACAAAACGAAAGAGAAATTGAGGGAAATGCACATGTTTCAACTTTGAGAACAGAAGATTGAGTGGAGCTATGATAGCATTGTTCAAGTATCTGAAGTGATGACACGTAGAAGAAAATCAGGGTCAGGAAGAATTTGATTTAATTACAGGAGTATATGGGAACAGACCATTACACTTAACACAAGAAGCCAATCTGGAAGAACAGGAAAAGGTTAACTCCACCTTTTCTAGTCAAAGGCAGAGCTTGAACTTTAACATCTGGTAGAGGAAATTCCTCCTTCCTCAGTTGTGTGTACATTAACCTCAGCTGAAGGCAAAACCTATAACATCTTTACATATGGAAAAAATATACTTCCAACAACATCGAAAAATACATCCATAACTAGCTGATCAATGAAATAACAATATTAAACAATTGGATTGCATGTGCTTTTTATTATACTCCTTTCTCTCTGGTTTGGATTCCTCATGCTGTTCTTGATTACTGATGATGGAGCTAATGGGACAGTGATACACCATATTCCCATTCTAGGGCTGCAATTAAAGTTACAGTGCCATCTGCAGCACTAAGTGGTTGGCTGCTTCTACTAGAGTGAATTTATTTGTAATTTATTTCCTGGTAATATTTAAAAATTGTTGTCATCTCCACCCAAGTCTACAGATGTCTATCAATGACATAAAGAGGATGTGAAGGAATGAGCTGTGATGCCACCCGGAACACATAAATTATAGCCAGAATAAATGATTGCTGTGCTATGTATTTCCTGTCCCATTTGTTTATGGAGGGTAGATAATTCAACTCTCAGCACTCCCTGTCTTGTAGGACACAAATATGTGCTTAGCCTTCTGGTCTCCTAGAATGTGCACAAGATAAACTCTTGCGCAAATCATTTCTTCCAATTGCATTCCATGAAAAACAAAAATCTGATAAGATTATCTCCTGTCATTTATAAATCCTTGAATGATTTTTGGTATGAAATAAGTGGCTGGTCTCAGAATCCCATATCTTGGTGGCATACACCACTGATCTCTCATCAAGACAGCTCCCAGTTCCCTTTCTCAATGAGCTGAAGGCATCAATTTTAGTAGCGATCACAATCTGCTTAATGGTTTCAAATGTAACAGTATTTAAAGCTCTGAAAAACTGAATGGAATTTATGTAGGCTAGTATAGCAATAGCACTTAGACTTATATACCACTTTATAGTGCTTTACAGCCCTCTCTAAGCGGTTCACAGTCAGCATATTGCCAGAGTCAACAATCTGGGTCCTCATTTTACCCACCTCAGAAGGATGGAAGGCTGAGTCAACCTTGAGCCTGGTGGGATTTGAACTGCCAAACTGTGGGCAGCTGGCTGCAGAAGTAGCTTGCAGTACTGCACTCTAACCACTGCGCCACAGAGGCTCTAGTATGTGTTTATGAGGGGGAAAATACTGGTTTCACTGAGAAAATGCTTAATGTAGGGATGTCGCTTCTTTCAACTCACAAGTGCCAACTCGCCTCAGGACCACATGGCCAATTTGTTGTAGGGATAATTCACCATGGGTGACTGGAGAAAGAGCTGGGCAAGCTAGCGGGTGGGCAGAGCACAGAGTATGTCGGGACAGGTGGCAGGAAGGCAGTGGGGGCCAGGGGCTTCCCATTTTCACATGTCCCACCGCTGGTGCTGCTCGGCTCTGAGCCTGGCTTGGTGGTATTGGTGGCAGTGCCAAGCCCAGCATGGATTGGTATCTGTGCCATGTTCAGAGCTGCTCTTACTGATGCATTGTGTCAAGCTTGGAGCCCAGCATGGCCGCCGCAGTGGCAGGGTGTGTGAAAATGAGAAGTCCCAGCTGCTGTTGCCTCCCTGCCACCCATTCCAACACACTGCACTCTGCCTGTCTGCCCACCCACCCGCCTGGCTCTCTCTTCAGCTTACCTGTGGCGAGTTGTTCCTGCAGTGAGTTGGCTGTGTGGAGTTGTCCTGTGGCAATTTGGAGGCTGTGATTTGACAAAGGCAACTTGGCGATGGCTTGGTTGCTTTCTCTGTTTGGGAAGCTATGACGATGAAATGATCAAAATTGGCACAAATATGGAATACTTGAATCCTCAGGCGTCTTTAATAATTTGAGTACCAAACCTCTAAAATAAAAGTATTTCTTCATATACAAAACTGCAGAATAGATGGTATGCCTGTCTGATGAGGATATGATGGGGATATGCAAGCGTAACATTGACGGGTCAAATGAGGCTATAAAGTTGTTTGGTATGATAGCCTATGTTGTGATCGCGGAGTTTCCATAAAAGATTGTAGTCTGATGAATTTGTTCAGGGGCTTGAGATTCAGAATGACTCTCCTGGTCCCATTCTTCTTTGAGACATTGTATCTCCTGTTTTTGTTTACTTCAGCAAGGCATGGACTTCAAGAACATGGTTGAGATAACTCCTCTGATAAGATTTCCTCCCCACTGCTTTTGTATGTTCCTTCTCAAAATTTCTTTCTTTCTGCCAAGAACATCAACTGGAATATTCCAAAGAAGATGGAGCAGGAAAGAAATGGGAAATTCCAAAACGTTTTGTGGCCTGGTGCCTTCAATCTTCTCCAGAATCTTGTTTAAGGAACTCCCTCTACAGATCCAATGTGCCCCCATCTTTGAAGAAAAGGCCTTGGAACTCAGGGGTCGTGTAACATTTTGCTATGTCAAAACAATTTAGCTAGGCATTTTCTCATTCTAACCAGAGCTGGTCCTCTTACTTCTAATAACTGTCCATCCTAAAGGTACAAAGGAGGGAGATGAGGTTACTTTATATGTCAGTATGAAGGTGGGGGAGGTTTTGGCTGCTCTTTGGCTTCCTTCCAGGGGCAGGGAGTTGGGATAGTCTTTTGGAATAAGTCACGGCATGCCAAGTGCATTTATCTCTGGTAGGTAATAAAGAAAAGTATCACATGGTTGTGTTTCCCATGTGGCATCACCTGATCATGGCTCCCACTGGCCTCTTCTTATCCCACACGCAAGGACTCTTTGCAGAACCATTTGTTACTTTGCATGACTCTAGAATCGTAGGAAAAGAATGCCACTTCTGCCATGTAGCTTCCTTCCTTTTTTTTTTCTTTATGTATCTTTTTATTGAATGCAAGTGAAAAGAAAAAGTTGCTTCTTGGCCTGAGGTGAAGCTGAGAAGAAATGCCAGGAGGCAGAGTTAAGGCTGTGACGAAGGAGAAATTCCCTCCACCAGATGCAAAAGTCTAGAAGAGTCAAAGTGAACCTTTCCTGCAGGCTCCACCATTAGCGACTAAATAAATAAATAAATAAGCAAATAAATGTCTCTACAAAGCAAGTTGAATTAATTATGTGTTCTCCTATACTGGATGAGTTCTCCAGAAGCTGGAAAGCCATCATTCGGATGCCTGCCCTGCACAGGTGACTGGACTCATATGACTAGTCATGGATATATTCCTTGACTATATTTTTTGTCCTCTAAAAATTCAAGGCATTTTATATGGTTCCTTTTGCTACCATTTCCCCCTCATAACTGACAAACTAATCTAGAGCAATCTATAGTCCCTTAATGAGTTTTATTATTCCACAACTAAGAATCTGGGTCTGGTTTCCCCAAACAAGCAAGTTTCTATGTTTGTCTATCACTCAACACAATATGTTACAATAACAAATAAAATATCAAAATTATTTTAGAGTTTAAATTGCTATTTAGAATGTAATTTAAAGGATTTACTGCAAATTGATTGACAGTCTTTGGCAACTGTGCAATTGCATAACACAATTTAACACAAGTTAAAGATTTGGGTTTCTTTCCGTACCAGTTTACATATTAAAAAGTATCCTGGCTCTTCTGTGTGCATAATACATATTTATTTCAAGTAAATAGTCATGAAAGGTCTTTTTCCAAAGATAATTTTCAACTAGCATTTGTATCGCTGGCATAAACAAAATTACTTTCTGGTGTTTGGAGACAAAACGCATTCACTTGTGAAATGCACTTCAGATTTTCCCCCAAACAAAACAACCCAGTTATTTATTCCTACTACATTCAATGCTGATGTTAGTTAAATCTCATACTCGGTACGGGTAAGTGGGCATACTAATAGTTTCCGCCGGTATCAGGCATCCGAGACCTGCCAAATAGCGGAGGAGAAAACCTGCCAAATTGGCTCAGCCCGCCGTATCCACGGCGGCGTTGGCGTTGGGAGCACTCCCGGAGATTAACACGGTCTCCATCCCAGAGAGAGGACCCCGGAAGTCCTCCCAGCTCCATGAAAAGCCGTCCTCGAGGTCAACTTCCACCGCCCCACAAGCGGCGCTGGCAGGGGATGATGGGAGCAGCCGTCCGACCATCTGGCGAACAACTAAGAAGCGGCGCTTACCCGGGAGCGCTGTCCGCCGCCCGCCCATTCGTATCCGGGTCTCAAACTGTGTGGGCGGCCCTTGAGCGTTTCTCCGCCGCCGCCGCAGCCGCCGTCTCTCCGCAGGCTCAGGTGCGCAAGCGGGGAAAGAGGAGGAGGAGGAGGCGGCGGCGGGAGCGCAAGTAGCAACGGCAAGCCGGATCGGAGCGCCTGGTGAGTGGAAACTGAGCGTGTCTGCGTCCTTCGCAGGAGAAAACGGGGCTGGCTGAAGGAGAAGAGGTGCTCGGAAAGCGGGTGCGGGGACCCGTTGTTTCCTCCTCGACAGCGCTAGAGCCTCGCGTAATTTGCGCCTAGGCGCTCTCTGCTCAGTTCAGGCTGCCTGGGTTGGATACCTTTACTGCTTCTTGTGATTGTATGTCCACAATGAGCATGCATAGATGTTCGGGTCATGCGTGGTTGTTTCGGTTACAAGAAAGTCAACAACTGCAGCTTGCCAAGTCACCTAAAGCATGGGGGACAGCACAGTTAGACACACTTGCTGGGGAGAGAACACAATTATAGAGTTTTAGGCACCCTAGAAATGAATATTATTGTTAAGTCAAAGGTCAGAGGTAGACGAGCTCTCCAAAACTTTTGCTCTGTTGTAATAAATGTCCTACAAAACAATCATAGGCAGGACTTCTTAGAAATAACTTCTCCTGAATTTAGTTTAGTTCTGAGGTTAGCCTTTTAGGTGTCATTAGATTATTTGATCCAACAGAAATTATGACCTTGGATGCTCTTATCTGAAACTGATTTTCGAATTACTTGCTATCATATAGAGTGTGAGATTTAACTAGTTAGTATCTGCTTTTAAGAGACATTTTAAAAATCTAATGAATGTTTTATCCTGAAGCAGGCTAACCAAGTCTTTAGCAGTGTAGGGAAAACGAGCTGGATAGTTTCGACAGTATGAATTGTTTACTCACAGGCCAGAAGAATTTCTAGGATTACAAAATAATTTGCAAGGTGGCTGCCAATCCCATTTACGAAATAGGATGTTATTACTTCAATGTAGGCCCTACTCTATATGCATGTTAATACAATGCAGTCAGAGTATGAATATATCAGCCTTCATCCTTTACTCTGTCACACTTCCCTCTTCTCATTCCAGACCAATAATTTAAACAGTCTTGTCCTACCACCTTTGCATTGATTTTAAGTTTCAGTGAAGCCTTGATGTATCAAAGTTCAATGTGATTGGCTTTGTAAGAACAAATCTGTTTTTACACATTGACTAACAACATTTGGCTTTGATTTAATGGACATTTGTAGATATCCTCTCCTTTAAATCCGTCTGTTGACGTGAAGATTTGTATTAAGTCAAACCTGTCCTACTACTGCTCCAAGGTATATAAAATCTGAATTGGTGATACCAGCTTGATATTTAGCAAAGGGCCAAAGCCAAATTGATCTATTGTAGATGTGATCAGTTCTGTTATAAACACTTTGGATGCAGCGTGCTAGCACATGTTACATTGCAACTATTTATTTCCCAGCGTTTGTTATTTCTACATCGTCTACTTCCACCAATAAAACACTTGGTTGTCTGAGGAGATTCTCAGTCATCTAAGTCAAAGGTGCTTTTTTTTCTTCTTCAAAAGTCAACTGGACTGTTTTTTTCCTCAAGGAAAAACCCCATCCCTCTGTCTATTGAAGAAAAAGAAAAAAGCACCTTTCAGACAAGACACTTGGTTATCCAATAGCTACTCACTTTTTAGTTGAGAAGAATCTGACTCACACCTAATTTGGGCTATTTCTGCCTTGTGTCCCATTTCTGTATGTCACATATTTAAACTTGAGAAATTGGGCTGTGGGAGGAACAGTAGACAAACTAGTCTACAATTGTCTGGGCAGTATCCAGAAGGGAGGCCCTTGCCATTCCTGCTGCAATGCCTCTTTGGGGGATGTTTTTACTAGTTGGTGGGTCACCTCTTGAAAGAGAAAGTGGAGCCAAAGCAAACACCAATATTTTGCTTATTATGAGTGGCATAATAAGTGGTTATGACTCCAAATAAAGAGCAAAGAGCCTGATGATCACTGGAGAGGACAATTTTTGTATTGGGATTATTTTGTGCCACATCAAAACTGAGTGGACAGACAGCATGTTACTTCAGTGGTAGAGAAAGACCCCTGGGCTATAAACTATACATAGAATTTTCTTGAACTTTCTAGGTTACAGTTAGTCAGTTTATCATATATAGGAAATTGATTGAAACTGACTTTTAGTTTTCAATATTGCGTTGGATAGATTAATAAAACTACCTTAATTTCTGCCTGTTCTGTTGAATAGCTTTATATTCAACTACTGACCAAAACCTCCTAACAGAGACATAGAGGACTACTAAAATTGTATATCATTCAGCACAAAATTAGATGTATTTATCATTCAGTTGTGGCTTCAGATTATCTTGAATATTTACAGTCTTTACCTTTTCAAGTTGAAAAAATTATGGCTTACTCTTCAAAGAAACATATACAATCCTTTGCTATGTAGAATAGAATAAAATTAGGGTTCAGATAGATTAGATATTAGAACCTCATTTCAAATCAGCTAGATAAGGTAGTCCTTGAGTTATAACCACAATTGGGTCCAAAATTTCTGTTAAGTGAGATATCTGTTAAATGAACTTTGCCCCCATTTTATTGCCACAGTTGTTAAGTGAATCACTTCAATTGTTAGTGACACAGTTGCTAAGTGAATCTGGCTTCCCCATTGATTTTGCTTGTCAGAAGGTCGCAAAAGGTAAAATCACATGATCCTGTCATAAATACAAGTCAGTTGCCAAGCTTCTAAATTTTGATCACGTGATCGTGGGGAATGCTGCAACGGTTGTAAGTGTGAGAAATGGTCATAAATCACTTTTTTCAGTGGCGTTGTAACTTTGAATGGTCACTAAATGAACTGTTGTAAGTTTAGGACTACCTGTATTTAAAAATGTGGTTAAATTGAAAACCAGACCCTTATGGAAGCATCATAAATGCCTTCAAATTTTGATGCATAAATCTTTGATGTATATCTTTAAAACAACAGCCCAAATGCCTTTTAATTAACAAAACCTATACATTAAAAAATGACCTGAGGCTCTAGCCCAGGAATGTCAAACTCAATTTCATTGAGGGCCACATCAGGGTTGTGTTTGACTTCAGGGGGCCAGAGTGGGCATTGCAACATGACATCACTCATGTCGGGGAGACCAGTGAAAACTGGCTCCTGAGCTCTGTTTTCAACTGTGACAGCCTCCTGCCAGTGAAAACGGAACTTGGGAGGGCTATGCATGGCCCTCACGAGCTCCATTTTTGGCTGCAACGGCCTCCTTCAACCCTCTGACAGCAAAAACAGAGCTTGGGAGGAGCGCGTGCGCAGAGCCACCATGGGCCAGTCCTTCGCTGTTTCCAGGACGCTGTTTCCAGGCCAGATCTAATCTCCCCATGGGCTGGATCCGGCCCACGGGCCTTGAGTTTGACACCCCTGCTCTTGCCTATTTTTTTGCAAAAACCAAGGTATTTCACTGAAAGCGTTAAACCATGGTTTCTCTTTTGCTTTTTTACACTGTTTCAGAAACAGCAGGCATGTCCCACTTTGAAAACAAAAGGCTACTATTTGGCTTAATGGCAGGAGCTGCAGGAGTAACCTTTGTCCTGTGTTGGTATCTCAAGACGCAGAAACGCAGCAAAGGTATGCATTTGCCTGTATTTCCAAATTCAGCCAGCGGTTTTGATTTAATAGATTTTCCATATGAAACTCACCAAGAAGAAAAGACAGTTTTGCTGTTACAAGGAAGACAGCTTCAGATACTGGAGAAATTGAATGGCTTGGTGGTAAGTGTGGAAGAACTTAAAAGAGAATTGACGTTTCTGAAAGAAGCTATTCCAAAGTTGGATGAACTTGTTCGAGATGAACTTCAAGGAAAAACAGAAAGTCGCAGAACCAGCCCTTCCCATAGGTCTGCAAAGAAGAGAAAGACTGAGGCAGCAGCTCCAGGTGTATCTGATACCACCAGTTCTGAAGAGACGGAAAGTGAAGGCGGGTGGGTATTTTAAAAACATTTGGAATTGTGTTGATTAAATGCTTAGTTTTTAAAAGATAAAAAGCCCTTAAAAGCAAGGTACGTTTTATATGTAATTTTTGTTAAGTTTTTTTAACAGGAAGATTAAAAACTAATATAAATTAATGTAAGAAGAAGAAAGAAAACTAACCGAAAGATAAAGGTGCAAGAAAGGAAGAAAAGAAAAGAAAGTAAAAGAAAAATAGATAAGAAAGGAAAAAGTTATAAAGAAATAACTTCCAGCTTTTGTTTGCAGCACTTAGAAGTACAATTACAATTTTACATTATACTCTATGTTTACAACATAACTCTCTTCTTTCTATAATCTACCCTGTCTAATCATCAAAATCATAAGTCATAAGTTCATTTTTTTCCTGTTTCATGCAAAAGGCCTACAAAGGGTTTGCATTCAGCAGTAAAGTATTGTCTTTTCTCTAATTTAAGAATTCAATTAGACTATCTCAGCAAGTGCCATCATCTTCACCAACCATACCTCCATTACCATCATGTATACAATAATCTCACTGCAGTTATGTAAAAAAAACCCAAATTTCCATAACCTTTTTTTCCCCAATGTTTGTCCTTCGATCCCAAAAGAAAAAATTCTGGTTTCAGTTGCATATTAATCTTTAAAATTCTCTGATAAGTGTATGTATTTGTTCTAGCTTTTTTACATGTTCATCAAACATGTTCAAAATTGATAAACCGATTTATATTCCTTGATGTGGAAGGCCAAAGTGCTTGCATTCTGGCACGCTCTAAAGAGGAAAGCTGAACCAGCTACAAGAAGTAGAAATGCTTGGTTTACCCGTAAGGGCTGTCTTTACCAATGCAACTACTGCTTCATCTCCTTTATTTATAATGTATAAGCTCTAGAGAGAGAAGTTGAAATATAATCCTTCCCTTTCCCCGATACTGACTGTTCTAATTTTCATAGACAAAAGCAACCTTTAGCAAATTTTTAAAAAGCTTTCGCAAACTTGTAATAAGTCAGTACAGTATTTGAAAACTTGTAATTATTAATTTGATGGCTTGACTTTTACTGGCACAACAAATATTGCATTAAGAGACCCAATGTAGTGTAGTGGTTAATGTGCTGGACTAGAAGCAGAGAATACCAGTCCTTCTCCATACATAGAAGTCCAGTGGGTGGACTTGGGTCAGTCACTACCTCTCAGCTGTAATAAATATCGATTCTGCAGTAAGCCAGCTGAAAAACAAACTCCCTTGTTGCATCATGCATTGGTAGCTTTGCTATAAGAAGTAGGTAAGCACAGTTCAAAAACAAGCAGACTATGAAATCTTGTGGGACAAACACTAAGAACTGCAACAACAACTTTTTTTCAAGGCTAAGAACAAGACCTTGATTGTTGTTGCTTTTTAAAGGATTGAAATGTTTTCATTGGAAACTAAGAGATAATTTATCTTGTCTCAAGGTCTTGTGATTCAGTAAATCACACTGACTGCCATAATAAATCTTAATATCTCTTAAATGTCAGAACATTTTTGATTCAGTGCAGAAATGTTGTTAGTTCCAAATGATTGCCTTTAAAAACCTGTAATTCCATTGTGTATCTTTTCTACAATTCAATTGTCTCAAGAATTTTTCAGTTGGTAATTTTAAAGAAATTACTTTCTTCCTTTTAAAAAGATAAACATTTCAACCAAAATTGAAGGCAAGTACAATATTAATTGGAAAAGATGTTGAATTTCATTAAATTCAGATTGTCTTTATGTTTCAATATCAAAAAACATCACTGTAATTTTACTGAATAGTTTCTTATAAATAAAAATAATAATACAGTACAGGTAGTTCTCAACTTAAAACCACAATTGAGCCCAAAATTTCCATTGCTAGACAGTTGTTAAGTGAATTTGTTTCATTTTATGACTTTTCTTGCCACAGTTGTTAAGTGAATCACTGAAGATGTTAAGTTAGTAACATGAAAATTAAGTGGATTAGAAAAGATGATCACATCACACGGGGACTACAGCCATCATAAATGCATGCCAGTTGCCAAGAGTCTAAATTTTGATCATGGGTAGTGGTACAATGATTATAAGTTTGAAAAACACCCGTAATGTCACTTTTTCAGTGACGTTGAACGGTCACTAAATGAATCATTGTAAATCAAGGACTTCCTATTGTGCAAAGAACCAAAGAACTGTGCCTGATTTAAGAAAAAATTAATTGGTCTGTTTGTGGATATTGCAAAATTAATGAAAATGTTCATCGTGTACTTTGCAGCATTCTTAAGATATGTTAATTAGAAAATAATAATAATCGTTACAAGCGGCAATATAACCATGCTGGTTTTCAAGAAGAGGTTATATTTTCTCCTCCTCTATTTTAGTTACATGACAGCTCATACTGATACTGAAGGAGAATCTGAGGAAGAAAAGGGATTGATCAATTCCTCTGTATCTTCTTTGACCCCAGAAGAAAAAATAGACTTATCTAATCTTCTGCAGGAGGTGGACAGAATGCATGCTGGCTCGGAACATGAGAAAAGAGAAAGCTTTAAACTATTGCTTGAAAGAGAAGAAGAGGTACGGTCGATAGTTCAATACCTTCTATGGTGTCCTTTTAAAAGTTTTAGTCACGTTAAAATTTAAGAATACATAGGAATAGATTGGTTTTAGGGGGAAAAATCCTGTTACTTAAAAATGACCCCTTTGATTATCATTACCAAATATTTGCTGAGAGTGGGCTCCCCATATAAGTGGTTATGGTTATTCAGTGCAGATGGGAAATAGCACTTAGCAAAAGCACTTTGACTTATATACCGCTTCACAGTGCTTTATAGTCCTCTCTAAGCAGTTTACAGAGTCAGCATATTGCCTCCAACAATCTGGGTCCCCCATTTTACCAAGGTGGGAAGGCTGAGTCAACCGTGAGCCTGGTGAGACTCGAACTGCCTGCAATACTACATTCTAACCACTGCACCACATCCATTATCAAGTTCCGCCTCTCTTGGTTTCCCTTTTTCTGGTTGCCAACAAACCAGCATAGGCTTTCTTCCCACATTAAGTTTGTAGTTTATATGAGAGTCAATGTGGTTTTTACTGTGGAATTAGAGAGAAGATAGAATATAGAGTAATTGTGTTGGAAGGGATCTCAGAGGTCTTCTGATCCAGGGGTCCCCAACCACCGGTCCCCGAACCGGTACCGGTCCGTGGATCATTTTTTACCAGGCCGCAAAGCTTGGGTGCCGCCATCTTGTTTCGACGGCGCTTCCGGGTTTTCGGTTGCTTCCGGGTTTTCGTTTGGAAAGTGCTTTCAGGTTTTCAGTTGGAAAGCGGCGTTTGGGTGCTCGCGTCTTAGTTTTGTCGAAGGGGGGGCAGCTTCGAACGAAGAGCCATCCTGATGGCGGTGGAGTCTCGCGTTACTCAGGTACCGGTCCGTGGAAGAATAATTAATCATGAAACCGGTCCCTGGTTCAAAAAAGGTTGCGGGCCACTGTTCTAATCCAACCCCCTGCTTGAACAAGAGACCTTATATCATTTCAGACAAATGGTTATCCAGTCTCCTTCTGAAAGCCTTCAGTAATGGAGCACCCACAACTTCTGAACGCAAGCTATCCCATTGCTCTCACCATTAGAAAATTTCTCCTTAGTTCTAGGTTGCTTGTCTCCTTGGTTAGTTTCCAATCATGGATGGTTATAGCAGCAAACAAGCACTTCCCCTTTCATTTCCAGAATACAAATGGAATTGAGTACAAAAACCAAGGATACAAAGCAAGGTTGCTAGGAACTTCTCTTGTTTATGCTAAAATGAAGGTAGTGGGAGGGAGCCAGCACTGCGTCATGTATGATGCCTGTGGTCCTTTTAAGGAAATACAAGTGATGCTTTCTTCAGAGGCAGCCCCCTTGCATAGGAAAGGAAGACAAAAGTTGGCTCAAATGATAAAGGAGTCTTTAATGCATAGGGAAGGTGTTGGTTTGCATTTTGCCAATGGCTGTTGTTAAATGTATCCACCATGGCAACTGGTTTGTACAAAACCACATAACATGTTTTCAACAAATGTTAGAGTCCCCTGAACTGAATAAATGAATGAATGAATTTCAGTGGTTGGACGAACTCATTTGAAGGGTCAAAATTAGTTATATTAGTTCAGTTTGCAGAAAGGGAAAAATACTTTCCTGCTTCCGTGTCACTATCTACAGAAATCTTGCAGGCCATACAGCAAAAAATCCTGCAGAGACTTTTAAACATGTAGGTATTGAATTCTAGATTCTGTTCTTGGCTGCAAGAGAAAACCCTGGAAAAAGTTTTTTTTGTGGGACAGGGTCATTTATTTGGAGTTACTGATCTGGTGGAATAAGTGCAGTCTGAGTCTCTGCAATTAAACAGTGTCATCTTTTGGGACCCAAGAAGGGTACAATGTCTTCAATGACACCTTTCCTCTCAAATTAGGCCCCCCAAGAAATCCATATGGCTCTCGCTCTAATGGTATCCAGGAAGCCTTGAAAACCTGCTGTTCTCCCAGACCAGGGATCTCCAAACTTGGCAAGTTTAAGACTTGTGGACTTCAATTCCCAGAATCCCTGAGCTAACATGACTGGAGGAGGAATTCTGAGAGTTGAAGTCCACAAGTCTTAAAGTTGCCAAGTTTGAAGACCCCTGTCCCGGACCTTGGCCTAGGATGGATGGGATTCCCCCTGCTTTTTTATAGGTTGTCTGGATTGCAAATTTGTTTTGGCCTAATTTATTGTATTTCATTGTTTTAAGTTGTTCTTCATTCTGTGAGCAACCCCTTATTGGTTGGAGTCAGGCAGCTTCAAAAGGGTAGTAAATAAATAAAGCACAGTACAATAATACATGAAGCCAGTGAATTTAAAATACAAGACGTAATGAGGTAATCATTTACAGAAAGGCATGTGAGGATTGGGGGAACATGCATTTTAAATATGTCAAAATAAAGTCAATAAAGCCAATCTAATGCACCTCTTTTGTTTGCAAGCAGTATCGAAACCATCCTGGCTTTCTTTGGAGACTTGTCCGAGCTTATGGAGACATGTTTGACTTAACTACAGATGCTGAGGAGAAAAAGAATTATGCTGCTGAAGGTTGGCTGTTCAAATAGATTTTAATGCAGATTTGTTCAAACTAGAAATATATCGGGAATGCTGTTTTATTATTGCTTCTGCTAAAAGTAAGACGTGGGTCATTTAGCCAGCCGAATCAGAGAAATAATTTAAGTAACAATCCTGCTGGGAACTAATCTGATTCCCTCATTACTTTTCTTTGCTTGTACCAGGGCAGCCTCACACCAAGAAAGATGGTGAGAATATTTAGCCGAGCAAGTACATTAGTGGAATTTAAGAGAAGGAGCTTCCCTGCGCCAATTCAGTTTTGAATACACAGAAAATACTAGGGGAAAGGCTTCAAGGTTTATTCTGATTCCGGTTCTTTTTAATTTTCTACCAAAACATGCATTGTAGTTTTCAAAATATTAATTGCAAAGCCGAATAGGTTTGTTTATTTATTAGACATATAGTACATCTTTCCTCTGAGAATTGAAGGCAACGTGCCTTTTCCAACTTTATCCTAAAAGCAGCCTTGGGAACAAGGCTAGGCTGAGAGATAGTAGCTTTACATAACCTTCAACAGCTGTGGCTTGGATCTGGATGTCCCCTGCCTAGTCCAGTATCTTAATCTCTACACCACATTGGTTTTATCCTAGATGTGTGTCCTGCTTAATTAATCTGTAGCCAAATAAGATAAATTCTCAATTTAAGGTCACCATCAATATATAGTTGCATTTATTGTTGAGTGAATAGAGCCTGATATAATATGCTTTATGCATATTGCTAAAATCTGTAAAATGCACCTTTTTCAGGAAAACTTGTGGGAGAGAATGCAATTCACTTGGATCCATCAAGTGCTGAGAGTCATCAGTGGTAAGTTGGAATAGTGGAGATTTTACCAGATCTTTGATCCCATTTCTACAACTTTTAATCGTGAAATGTCTAAAACAGACAAATAGTTTTAATAAGTGCATACAGAGAATCCTCAACTTACAACCACAATTAAGCCCAAAATTTCTGTTGCTAAGCAGCAGTAAGTGTGAAAAATACCCTTAAGTCACTTCTTTTCAGTACTGTAACTTCGAACAGACACTAAACAAATGGTTGAAAGTTGAGGATTACCTGTATTCACAGGTTCGGTTCTTGACATCTTCATATAGTTGAGTTGGGAAAGTTATCCTAGATATAGCAGGTCTACATCTCTTTTATGATTAGTCAGTCTGGCTCATCATTTTTTGCACTACCAGATTGCCAGCTACCATTGGGGATTATTGATAGGAATCTTTCCCAAACAAGGGAAAATACTGCTTCCTTTGAGTTGAGTTTGATTCGTGGTGAATCTATGACAAGTTTTTATTGTATTCTTGCAAAATGAAAGCAGCTCACCAATGCCACCTTGTTGGATAGCGTTTCTCAACTATGGCAGCTTTTTAAGATGTGTGAACTTCAGCCCTAGGTGTTGAAGTTCACATATCTTAAAATTGCCACAGTTGAGAAACACTCTTCTAAGATATTTCCAGTCTAGCCATCAGCCCTGCTTTTCCCAAGTGGATTCCCATTGAAATCCTAATCAGTTTGAACATCCACATTAATATAAGATAGTTCAGATACTATTGTCTTCTGAACATCTCTATAATTATTGCTTTTTTAAACCTTGGCCATTAGATGGAGCCATTGGATTCCCTATTTTTCTAATTTCCTAACTATGATAAATTCTCACTCTTCATTGAGAATCTTTCGAAGTTACTGAATTATTTTATAATTCACCAAGGCTGTAGATTTTCTTAAAGAAGGCTTCTCTTCTGAGATTTCAATGAGACAAACAGCTTTGCTGTTTTAAGGCTTTAGTTCATATTTTACTCATATTCTGAACCACTTTTATCATTTGTGTTGGATTTCTCTCTCTCTTGTTTTACATTTACAATATTATAGGAAAAATAACTGTGACATCCTCAGTATTACATTTGGTAAAAAACATCTCAGCTTTTCTTGCCTGGAACTCTCCAAATACTGCCTGGGAAAATGAATTTAGTCTCAGCGTTTAATGCAAAGGGCATTAAACAACGTGAAGCTTGACTCATCTCTTTAAAAAGATCCATTTTGAGATATTTGTGGAGGTTCTCAATCACCCAGGTCCTAATTGTCCCAAAGTGCTTTTCTCAAAGGTATCTGTCCTTTCTTGTTTTTTTTTTCCTTGAAAATGTTTTGCTTCTCATCCAAGAAGCTTCTTCAGTTCTGAAGAACTGAATAATTTTGCTCATTTTTCTGCCTCTTATAAATGTATTTTCTCCCCTTTTTAGCCAATGTATGGTAATGAAGTAAAGTAGGATTCATTCAGCTATTCAAATGAAAAAAATGGTGGCAGATACTTTTATCACTTCTTCTTCCCATAATGTGGTCAACTTTGGACATCTGTTTCTTTTCCTATTCCCATTAACAGATTTTTTTTCTATCCTATCCTATTCTATCTCTCCTATCTTCTTCCTAGGACAAATATTTTCCTTTCTCTAAGTGCAATTGAAATGTTTAAAAGCATAAAGAACCTCCACTATGTAAAATGGAAGAACCCAAAGATCAATGGAGCTCCCCAAGGAAGTCTTATCCATATTTTGTGAGCTGCATTGGGTTTGCTCTCAATAAAAGCTAATATTGCAATAGGAATAGTAATAATAGGGTTGGTGGGGACCTTGGAGGTCAAATAGTCCAAGTCTCTGCTCAGGAGCCCCTGCACATTCTAGACAATTGGCTGTCCAAGGTCTTACTAAGATTTTATAGGCATATTGCTCTAAGTGTCTGGATTTCTGTTTAGACAAAGTGGCTGAAAATCTGCTTTATGTAAACTTTTGGATAAGTATTTATTTTCACTTAAGAATTTAAGGGGCTTCCACTGATTAATTGATTTTACTGTCAAGAAATTCCTCCTTAGTTCTACGTTCTCCCCTTGATTAGTTTCCATCCATTGCTTCTTGTCTTGCATTCAGGTGCATTCAACAGGTTGACTGCCTCTTCCTTGTAGTAGCCCCTCAAATATTGAAACACATGTCACCCCAAGTCCTTCTTTTCACTAGACTAGACATACCCAATTCCTGTAACTGTTCTCCATATGTTTTTTAGTCTCCAGTCCCCTAATTCAGAGGTGGTATTCAGCAGGTTCTGACCAGTTCTGGAGAACCGGTAGCGGAAATTTTGAATAGTTTGGAGAACCGGCAAATGCCACCTCTGACTGGCCCTGCCCCCATCTATTCTCTGCCTTCCAAGTCCCAGCTGATCACCTGGGTCTTCTTTTGTTGCCCTGCACAGAATGGAGCTGGAAAGCAGGTTAGTTGGGTGGGGAGGGGATGGGGATTTTACAGTAACTTTCCCCCAGGTGTGGGGAGGAAATGGGGATTTTACAGTATCCTTCCCCTGGATTGGAGTAGGAAGGGACATTTTGCAGTATCCTTCCCCTGCCACGCCCACCAAGCCATGCCATGCCCACAGAACCGGTAGTAAAAAAATTTGAATCTGACCACTGCCCTAAAAATCTTTGTTGTTCTTCTCTGTGCTCTTTTTAGAGTCTCAACATCTTTTTTATATCTTGGTGACCAAAACTAGGTGCAGTATTCCAAGTGTGGTCTTACCAAGGTATTACAAAATGGTTATGGTTTATATTAAACACTTTTTGTGATCTTGGTTCTAGCTCCCTATTAATGCAGCCTACTGTTGTGTTGCATTTTTGGTGACTGCAGCACCCTGCTGACTCATTTTTAAGTGGTTGTCCACTAGGATTCCTAGATCCTATATTCAATGGACCTACTCTGAGGATACTAAGACATGATTCCCATTTGTAATTTATTGTTTCCTTCTTGTTTGTCACAGTATGCTTTGCTAAATAGTTTCATTTATGTAATAATATTTACATGCTGCCCCAATCCATGTAGGTTCTGGGAATGCAGTAAATAAAGAAGTACAGTAATGAAAGTCAGCTATGATGGTTGTCCATACAAAACTAAGAACCAAAAGCTTACCAGAATAATACCATTTTAAACTTACTTCCTAAAAGATGACAGAGTCAGAAACCTCTTTTAAGAAGAGATCACCTCAGCAGATTCTCCCTGGGTGGCGGAATCTGGTGAAAATATTGCCAAACATGGTGTCATATCCTGAAGTTGTCATGGGCTGTGGGAAAATCTGAGGCGAAATGCTTAGTGGCCCCAAATTTATGTTGTTAGGTGAGAAAATTATTAAGTGAGTTTTGCCCCATTTTACGATTTTTCTTGCTGCATTTGTTAAGTGAATCACTGCAGCTGTTAAATTAGTAACACGGTTGTGAAGTGAATCTTGCTTCCCCGTTGACTTTGCTTGTCAGAAGGTCACAAAAGGGAATCATGTGACCACCGGGACCCTGCAACCGTCATAAATAGGAGTCATTCATTAAGCAACTGAATGTAAAGCACCTGACCATGGGGATGCTGCAATGTTCACAAGTGTGAAAAATGGTCGTGTCACTTTCTTTAGTGCCGCTGTCACTTCGAATGGACACTAAGTGAACTGTTGTAAGTCAAGGACTACCTGCATGCCATTCTGAAAAGATTGGAGGAGACCTCCAATGTAGCAGTGAAGGAAAGTCATTAGCATCACCCAGCCTTTGTGGAGTGGTCTAACTCTAAAGCCAGCCTGGATTACTGCTATGTCAACTGAATATTGGTTGGTTGATTTGAAAATACTCTAAATCATAATGGGGTTCTTGTCTAAAGCTTGATTCATCCCAAAGACCTTTCTACATCCTTTTAAAATACTTTTCTTCAAAATGAAAATTGTCCTGCAATATCGATTTCTAGTACTGTATATAGTTTTGATACGTGAATAAGGGACAGGAATGTATATGATAGCTATTGTCAAATCCCTATCATTGCTGAGAGACAGACATGGCAATGGATGGCATTCACAAAGAAATAAAAGTTGCAATTATATTGTCCTTATGAGCCATAGCGTTCACTTTTCCTGCTTTTGTTAAAAAAAAAAAGAGCTTGTCTCTCATCTTTTGGAAGCTGAATATGAGGTAAAAATGTACTATCGTTTTCTGTTGTTTTGTTTTATAAAGTCTGTTCTCGATTTCCCATATTTTTAAGCAAGGGATTAATGCCAGCTAGTTTCACGTACATATTCTGGGCAAGAGAGATTCCAGATTGTTTTCGATCTATTGGAAAGGGATTGCTGTTCTGTAAAAATTTAGAAATTCGGCTTTTTAGAGTAGAGGTGGTGAATTATTTAAGATAAGAAGAAGAGGATAAGAAGAACTTAAACTTTAAAAATATCTGTTAAACTTGCCAGTTTATGGTTTGTGGAGTTGAAGTTCTGTTTCAGACTTCCTTGGGACATGCTTCATCAGGGTCTGTCTTTAAATTACTTTCTAAGACCATCATCAAATCACTGACACATTTTTATATTAAAAAAAAAAACTGCTTGCCAGAACTCTGAGGAAGTCACTCAAACTGCTCATTTCAGATACCTTCGGCAGAAGTCACATTTACACTGATTCTGATCGTGGTTTTCAAAATAATGATGCAGCATATCCCAAAACAGCTATGGTGTAACAGTGAACCTTATGAACATAAAATTGCAATCCTGTCTGACACTACAGCTTTTCTCTCGTAGAAGTCAGTAAATATAGACCGCAGATTATTGTTCGTGTGACTTTTCCACTAAGAGAAAATAAGCAGCTTTCTTATTCATCCAGAAAAGCCCTCACATACAGAAATATAGCCCTTAACTGGTTTAACCCAGCACTTTTCTTCTCTTGTCACGCACAGACTTGGAGATTCTGTGAAACTTCAGGATTAGCTTATTTGTATTTCATTGTTTTCTTTTCTAGCTGTAATCCGTTTAGCTATGGTATGCTGAGTTTATCTGATTAGCACCTAATGAGCCAAACGGAACTGGAGAGAAAGTGGTGTTGCCATTCTGCAACATATGAGAAATCAAGTTTTAGTAACCTTGTTTCTCCTGAATACTTGAAATTCTTTAACTGTCTTTGCTAGGAATATAAAGTCTGGCTTCTTTTTAAGCTGTGATACAGTGAGAGGATCTCATCTGTTTGGATAGAAGAATATCCTGAAAATCCTGAATTTGTCTTGTAAAGGAAATAGATTGGGTTAAGGCGACAGGACTATAAAGTAATGCATTGTTCCATTTCTTTCCCCAGCCGGCATTCTTCACCTGGATAGCAATACAGATTCAGCATGTGGCTTTATACATTTGATGGGTATTAGTTCAGAGAAGACAGTAATTGTATCCACAAGTTTGGAAAAATATATTTCCATTCCATTGCTGCAGTGTGTAATTGCTGCTTGGAGAGCAAGGCACAAGAGTGTGAATACTTAATAGCTGAAATTGGAACTCATTTAAAACCATCCTACTCTTTATGGATGATCTGAATCGAGATTGAAAACATAAAGTTTGAATCACTGAAAACTACACTTGGGAAATTTGTTAACACAAAACTGATTTTGAGCTAGCAGATGCATATTGAAGCTGAGTTGGCAACTAAAGGCACACAATAAAAATGGGGCTGTTGTCTAGTTAAATAAATTCTTGTTGCTTCACCCTTTGCAGTTTTAAAAAGTTAAAGCAATCCACCTAAGCACCACAGCGCCCAAGGCTTAATTCCAGTAGCTCTAATGGAACTTTCTTTACTGAA